CACACACACCACACACACACAACACACACACACACCACACACACACACACACACACAACACACGCACAAACACACACACACACACAACAACACACACAACACACACACAACACACAAACACACCACAACACACCACACACAAAAACTTAATGCAAAAGGATTTTCCTACAAAATGTCCCAAGAATAATTAGGGGTGAGGCAGTGCATATGCCGTAGAGGGGTAGGAAGGATGGAGTCGTACACAGTGGGCAGATACTTATGATACGAGGGGGCTCACTATACGGCAGGCAAGCGACCTCACGCATTAGCGACGGTCCCGATCTCCTCAAAGCCGTCGTGTGGTCTACCTATACACACTCAAGGCGGTCGTGGCGGGTTCCCGGGTAGTGGCTTACTTCTTGGCAGGGTACGGTACTGTCTAAAACTGACCATGGATCCATATCCTCTCTAATAGGGTAATTATTTATAGTATTCAAAATAAAAAAAAAAAAAGTAATAAAAAAAATTAGTTGTGGTAGCTTATTTTTTGTTTTTTTATTGTAATTTGTTTTGTGTTTTGGGCTGGGGGTAGAGGATGGCATTAATAAACAGACAGGACAGATAAGACAGAAGAAATCAAGAACAAAGCAGGATAACCGAAGCAATCAAGAGAGAAAGAGCAGGAGAAAAGAAGAAACAATCTACAGACAGGACATAGGCGCACAAGAAAAGAAACCAAAAGACAGTAAAAGACAAGAAACCGAAAAAAAACAAAAAAACAGAGATCACCAGACCGTAAACTTTTCTCATCACAAAAACATCAAAAATATTTCCCATTGCGAGTCAGAATAGGAGCTAAAAAGCGAATAGGAAAATGAGGCCTGAGCAACCAACAAAAAAAAATAATTTTTATTATATTAGTATATTATTATATATATTAATTATATATTATATATATATATATATATTTATATATATCTGTTCTATCTATCTAGGCAGGAAAGGCAGTCATGATGCTTGTCGTAGGAGGTAAATGGAAGAGGCAGAGCGATAGGGAATGCGGAAGTCGGGATGAATGAATTGGGGGACACGTGGAAGTGATAAAAATCAGGAGGGACTGAAAAGCGGACGAATATACAATAGAGGGATTTTTGAAGGAAGGGAGAGGGGGATAGAGAGGAGAGAGAGAGGAAGGGGAGAGAGGAGGAAGGGAGAGAGAAGAGAGAGAGAGAGAAGAGAGAGAGAGAGAGAGAGAGAGAGAGAGAGAGAGAGAGAGAGAGAGACTGAGAGAGAGAGAGGGGGGGGAGGAAGAGATGCATAAAAACAGACAGACAGATAGAGACAGAGACAGACAAAGAGAGAGAGATCAAGAGAGAAAGAGGGAGGAAGAGAGACATTTACACAGACAGACATACAGAGGCAAAGAGAAAAAAGAGAAGGGAAAGACAAGAAAAGAAAAAGAAAAAAAAAAAGAAAAGGCCAGACCTAAAACTTTTTCTCTCCCAAAAACATCAAAATATTTCCCACGCGAGTCAGATGGAGCAAAAAGAATGGGAAAAGAGGCCGGGATGAAGGCAGACCGTGCTGAAAAGAGGAACAGCGTCAGCGAAAATTATAGCAGGTGTAGGAAACAGGCGACGGAGAGACCCCGTAGGCGGACGAAAGGTT